ACAGCCACCTGCAGCACTGCCGCGGATCGCTCCAGCGAGGAGTTGCATGGACGTGTCCTCCTTTGGCTCGAGCTCCCCGCGGGAGCCACCCCTGAGAGGCTGGGGGTGGAGCGCCATCGCGACGACCTCCGCTGGAGCCGCGCCACTGTCGCCTCTCGCCGCGCGCGCCGACACAAGTAGCCCAGCCGCGATCGCCGGCGAGGAGTACCGTGGTCACGTCCTCCTCCGGCTGGAGCTCAAAAAATATGTTTGTCATGGTCCAAAAATATGTTTATCATCAAAAAATTATAACGTGTAGAAACTAATTTTACATAGAGAAATTCAAAAGAAAATCTAAAATTGCCATGTGACAAAGTAGAAATATTTCCAAAATACCATAAAATTGGCATGCTACTACCATGGTCTAATTAAAAAAAAATCAGTGGTCTAACTAAATAAAATTGTCATGGTTAGAATAATAAGATCACCATGCTACCTATAATAAAACTACCATGGTCTAATTAATAAATTTTCCATGTTCTAATTAAAAAATAAAATGCTAAAAACTCAACTTTATATTTTTTAGGCATGACAAATTGAACGTTTTTCATGGCAATTTATATTGACGCGAGGATGGTAAATTTAATTTGCAAGCAAGGCAATTTTCTAGTAAAAAAATGAACTGAGGTAGATTTGCATGCTCGCGAAGTAAATGTGTCATCTTCGGCGAACATATTTTGTCATAAATTGATTTGTCGTGCCTAAAACCCCGACGTTCACTAGATATTTGAGTCCTTTAAAATTGACATGGTATGAATAATTAAACTTCTCATGATACCTATAATAAACTACAATGATGTAATTGATAAATTTTTCATGGTCTAAATATTAAAAATGTCATGCTACCTATAATAATTATTGCACATGACAATTTTTGGGAATTTGTTTACTAACAAACACATGACAACTTTTGAGAATTTGTAAAGGGTGCATGTGTAGGATCGAAAGGAGTGTCTAGGGGGGTGACTAGACAACTAGCAAGAGATAATGATCAATTTTAACAAGTTTAACACTTATGAAAAATTTGGCACAAGCTAGAATAGTACAAACACACCCTACACATGCATATCTAGAGCATAGGCAGCAGAATGTAAAGAAATGCACGTGTAGGAGTAGAGTCTAGGAGATTCGCAAATGCAATGTTGACACTGAAGATTTTTGACTCGTGGTTCTGATAGGTGGTGCTATGAGGCTTCAATCTCAAGGATTCAAGATGATAAGGATTATGGTTGCGGATTTCACAGAGGAATCAAGTCACAAAGGGCTCACACCCACGAAGGGTCCACGAGGAAGCAACATTGCCTATCCTACCATGGCTTGTGCTCACGAGGGGCTGGCCTCACTCGGTAGATCTTCACAAAGTAGGCGATCTCCAAGCCCTCACAAACTTCTTGCTTTCTCCACAAGATTTGAAGACTCCCAAACACACCTAGCCAATCCAGAAGGCACCACCCTCCAAAAGGTAATATATTGTCTTGTTGATGATGAACTCCTTACTCTTGTGCTTCAAAAGATAATATCCTCAACACACAAACACTCTCTCACATGCCTTTTGTTAGGAGAGATTTGGATGGAAAAGCAATGAGGTGACTAGAAATCAAATGATCAATGGTTGGAATAGAATCCCTATGAAATCATCACAAGGAGTGGGAGCTCTCTGTCAGAAAAATGGATATGAGTGGTGTTTGCATCGACAGACACTGGTGGAGTGGGTGCGGGTATTGTTGGGAAACATAGTAGAAAACAAAAAAGTCGACCTACGATCAAGATCTCGTATCACTATCAAGATGCGTTAAAGGTTTAGATCGGATCTTTACTAACTTCGAGTTGCAACGGAAGAAGAGTTGGTGTAGACCGTTTATGAAGTTCATCGAACCGCTCATGAACGATCCCTCAAACCAAAGACCGAAAGCACGACCTCTCTATGAATTGCACATGTTTGGGCTTCATGATCTGGCAATGCTTCATCATCCAAAGCTTGACGTCGCCATAGCATTAGAAGAGGGAGAAGAGAACCTCACGGGGATTCTCTATTAATTATGTGGATTAGAAAAAAAACTAGAACTAGCTCTAATCTAGATCAAGTCTAAATTAGAAACTGGAACAAGAGATAACTAGAGGAGGCACCAAAAAATAGAACTTGTTTGTCTCAAGAGGGCCAGATCCTCTAGTATATATAGGTGGAGGGAGAGGGAGGGGCGCCTCCTTGGGGGGAGGACTCCCCCTTGTGTAGGCCCTAGGGGGAGGAGTCCTCCTCCAACCCATATTCGCCCCCCAAGCTTGTCCAACAAGCTAAGGGGGTGTCCCACTCTAATAGATAGTAAAAAAAACCCTCCCATAATAGGCCTTATTGATATTTTCTTTAGTTTGTTGACTCTAAATAAATATTAGGGACTCCTAGATAATTATCTAAGCCCTCTATTGTTTATATTAGGTCCCCCAAAACAATTTTCACCTATATATCATTTCCTAGTATTACCCAGTACTCCCTAAAACACTTCCGATAACCTCAAAACGCTTCCGCTTTCTCCTGAAACTATTTCTTTATTCCTGAAACTATTCCAAGAATATTTTCTCATATTCCTCACTCCGCTAAAACTCAAAAGATTGTAATTCCTTTAAGTGTGTGCCCCTGTAGGTTCGGTGAAATATATGCATGAACAAAACTTCCTTCCGTTCAATGATCAACAGCGGAATCGTGGACATCCATGATAACCCCTATATCCACACGAATGATACTCGAATAAACCTTTGGTCATCATATGCTATTCCCTTTGCTTCATGATACGTTGCAAAACCCGAGGTGAGATATGTCGGTATTCCGTGAGTCATACACATGCTCATGATACCGGTCTCCTTGTGGCTTTGTTATTTTTCCTCGTTATGTTCCGGCATCCCTGTGAGCTAGTCACATGTGTATGCATGGACGATGATGTATGCGGTCACACCGAGAGGGCCTTAAGAATATATCCCCATCATCGGAGCAGTAGATCCCACTCTTGAGCTATCTAGACCCTTGTCACACTTACTGGTAAACCTGTAAGTGGTCGTTATGATCACCGTGTTACAGATGACATTGGAGCAACCCCAAAGTGTATCGTCCAGTATGAAGTGACTCGATGCTCTCATGGTCTAAGGAATATATTAACTCTCTTTCATATTACAATAGACTTGCGACGATAACATCTCTAAGTATAACAAATAACTTTGATCAATTCAATATGATTGTTCTTTTAACATCATACTTTCAATGTTGTCGGCATCCTCGTTGTGGTTTCAGCATGGCCAAGTTAGGGATTTGTTTCTTTGAAAAGATGGCAATTTTAGGATTGTGCCATGGGCTCATGGCAAAAGTTAAGGATTTAGTTCGGTAAAAAATATGGCAAGTTTTTTAGAAAAAATTGTAAGTGGGCACATCGCAAATTTAGGAGATTTGATCTCTAACGAAGATGGCAAATGTAGCTAATTGCATTGGGCACATGGCAACATTAGAAGATTTGTTGTTTGAAAAATATGGCAAATTTAAGAATTTCTCCATGTGTACAATAAAAGAGTATGCTCCCGTAATTCCATATTAAACTTGAATGCCTAAAAAACATTTTGCCATGATGTGGTAAAACTAAAGGTTTTCTACATTTCAAAGCATTTTCAAATATTGCCATGCTCTAGAGAACAGATTTCCCCCTAAATTTGCAATGCTATCAGTCCAATCATTTTTACACAAAAAATACCATGTCTTATTTTCATAATTTTGCCATGTAACTATTACAAAAATTCTAAATTTTGCCATGATGTAGGAGACAATAAAAAAAAATCTAAATTTGCCATGTGATCAGTCTAAAACAATTTCCCTCAACAGCCTCCTCCTCTCCTTACCTCTCTCTCTTTCCACGCCACGTCGAGCTCGCCCGATGGCGCTGCGGCAACCCATCTCACATGTGTGCCGCCTCCACCGCCCGACCTTGCTTCTATCGTCTCCTGCACAGCCACCTTTTTTTTGCAATGGTCCTGCACAGCCACCTGCAGCACCGCCGCGGCTCGCCTCTCTCCAGCGAAGAGATGCATGGACCGCCCGACCTTGCCTTTATCGTCTCCTGCACAACCACCTGCAGCACCGCCGCGGATCGCCTCTCTCCAGCGAGGAGATGCATGGACGTGTCCGCCTTTGGCTCGAGCTCCCCGCGGGAGCCACCCCTGAGAGGCTGGGGGTGGAGCGCCATCGCGATGGCCTCCGCTGGAGCCGCGCCACCGTTGCCTCTCGCCGCGCACGCCGACACAAGTAGCCCAGCCGCGATCGCCGGCGAGGAGTACCGTGGTCACGTCCTCCTCCGGCTGGAGCTCCTCCTCGTGGTCGCGAATGGATGAGGAATAGAGTGGACAGCGGCTGGGCGCGTCCATTTCATCTGGGAGCGTTCGCACACAGTCGAATCCAGAGCAAAGTTTATTTTCCTGACGTGGCGAGCATGCATCAAGATTGGTGCGCTTAATCTAACGGTCTTAAGAGTCGTTCGCTGGGAGGAGCCAGAAATCTGACGTTCGCTACATATCATCTGCCCAAGATATACCGAGGGAGTTGAGACTTTTTTTAGGGGAGGGAGTCGAGTGTTTACACCGTGTAATCAAGCAGGCTCACCAGAATAATGTGCTTGCAAACACTATACTAGTAATACAACACGAGATATCCTAGATCTTAGGCCCTGAACACTCTGCCTTCCCAGTGAATCACTGTTATCCAAGTGGAAGGAAGGACATTCTGAAACTGAAACTGCAGTTCCAATCTTCATAAACACAAAGAGACCATCCCCTCCAGTCCAAAGTGCGCGGCAAAACTCCATACCAAAACAATTGTACTCAAGTATATATAGAGGAAGGTTGTGTCTTGACCACAAGCTATAGATGTATCATCAGGTTTTCCCTTGTCGTGTCGGTATGCCGCCAGCAGCACTTGCATCAGAGCCACCCTAGTCATTCTTGCGCGTGAACATCCTGGCAAGATAACGGAGCAGTGACACCAGCCACTGCCAGAAGAGGACGGCGAAATTTTTGGCCTTGGGTTTGGGCTGAGGCCTCGGCCCAAACAGACCTTTGTATAGCTCCCTCTGCTTCTGGTACATCGCTTTATCTTGTTCCGCCAGCGACCGAAGCTCCCGCATGATCTCCTTGTCTTCCGGGGAGTGTTTCTTGGCTTTCAGAAAGTCCTCCCTCGCTGATTCTGTCTGGCCGAGCTCGGCTCTAGCTTTTCCACGTCTGAACAGTGCTTTCACGTTGGTTTCGTCCTCTGACAGCACCTGCAAAATAGTATTATGCAATGATAGATCATCTAAACAGTAACTGGTCGAGTCTTTCCACAAAAATAAGGGGCAAAATTGCAGTACAGCACGAGATTATTCAGTCGGCCAATATCAAGGCATACCAACTTTGTGATGATTTAAATTAAAGTTTGGAGCAAAAACATAAGCAGCCCAGCCAAACTATTTTAAATTCTAAAATACCATCACAGACTGATACTTATAATGCAAGGAGAGCATTCTACCCTTATTTGGTCCATAAATGCTTGCATATAATAACTATAAATCATTCACACAAAAATAATATAAATATAATAACTATAAAAAAGAATTGAACCCTTGGGGGGACAAACCCTAAGGAATTGTACTTTTTACGACGAGAAAAGGCCCCAAACACCGTCCCACACCTGCTACAGCGGCGCAATGGTCAACCCTTACACACACAGGGAACACAAAGCAGGGGCCCTTTTTTGTGAGAACCAGGGTTCAAGCCCTGGTCACTAGCCCCATACTCGGAGGTCTGACTGCCGTGCTAGACGCATGTTCTCGCATATCACAAGTATAGTCTAGTGTTTTTAAAAATTTGAATATCAAACCAAATATCTACTTTATGCAAAGCTATACAGAAATCCAAACTAGAGGACCTCATGTGATGTAAGCGATGAGTGAAAGAGTGAAGTTCATGAAATAATATAGAACTGATGAACTTACAATGCTACACTGTGCGATAGCTTCGTCAAATCTCTTTTGTTTGATCAGGCAAGCAGCCATGTTGAGATGGCACGGGTTTTTCACAGCCAAAGCCATATCTCTGTACTTCCCAAACAACTGAAACATGAAATCATCTCCCATATACGCAACAGCCTGGAAAAGAGAAAGCAGTAGAACACCATCAGCTCGAGCATCTCAAAAAATAAAAATATTGAAAATTTCCAAGTAAAGCAGATCACGAACCATCTCGTATTGCTGCATAGCCTCCTCAAATTTCTTCTCTTTAAAGTAATCGTTGCCCTCAAGCTTCCTCCTATCCGCTGCTTCAATCCTCTCTTCTACCGTCATGTCACTACGGGCTTTTCCCTGATTTATTCAGACATGTTGCCATGATTATGAGTTTTTCTTAGAAAAATCCAGTGTCTGAGAAAGGGTAATTAAAATTGTAATAAGCTATTCAGGCATCTCAGTCTACTACCAAAAGTATCAAAGCAACCGATTAGTGTTCTACATTCAAAAAATTGGCTCTATTTCTTTATTAAGCCATTCTTTGGTTGGAGTGGTGATGGGGCAGGTGAGGGTGTTTGCCATTACCTCTTTAGCATCATCAAAACCAATGAGTTCAACTTCATATATAAGGTCTGCTGATGGAGGGACATTCGGGAATGAAAAGCTTCCTTCTTTCCCATAGCCTAGCTCCCAGCTAACATGCAACAGTGCACGTTCCCCACTTTTCATGTGACCAACACCAATACCCAAACCGGACATTTGCTTTTTCTCTGTAGATGAAAACAGAATACTTCAAAATTACTACACAGGCAATTGCCTTTGATAGTTATTTGATACACTCAGCTAGCAAGTGATTTTATAAAAGTAATGCGAATACAAACTCTTCAAATTTTGTTAGAATAGCAAGGGAAGGTGTGACTAGTAACCAACTGGTGGACTAACAATAAACTAACTACTTTAATAACCTTCCCTCTTAAAATCAACCTCATACCACTCGAAAACCAGAATATTACCAAAATAAGTCTGAATCTGAATCTTACAGCCCTGCACCGGATTGAAATTATAAATGAAATGTATGCAGCAGAGACAAACTGAGGATAAAATAAGTGAAATAAATGTATTTGTACCTTTTCCGATGACAATTTCAACTGGATGCTGTTCTTGCCAGGTATCCTCAAATTTATGCATAGAGCTTTGTACCCATGCTCTGTAATGCACTGTAAATCAAGGTTGGAAACAACCATTATATCACAGTTATCTCCTTCAAACCATCAAATAAATATCTAAATAAATACATCCTCTGAAACTTAGACAGGACAGCATACTGATAAATTAAAGTAAGATCCACTTCAATCAAGATCCTGAACAGACAAATAGATTAATGTCCTTTACAGAAGCAGCCTACATATGCATAACAAAAGAGCAAAGCTGAAATATGAGAGGAAAAAAGTAAATCGATGTCATTACCCACTTAAAGGGGGGGAAGGATAAACAAAAGGGGCATTACTTTTCAATGTCAAATACAAGTAAGGCAGGAAATGGTGATGAATAAAACATGACACATGCAGTACAAAGTTACAGAGATTATGCCCTCGTAACCAGTTATATGAATTAAAACAGTAGATGGGGTGAGTGCCATCTCATGGTCATCAATCAGGATTACCGAATATTTGAAGTTTGAAATGTATTTCCTTCAAAAAAAAAGCTTGGAATACTTTTCTAGGCTATCAGGATACGTGATAACAACCTTCTGGCATGGTACCAGTGAACATGTTAATTAAGTGAATTATAATATACGAGAAAGACTAGAGCGGGTTGTATAGATTGGTACCATAATTCTAGAAATCAACGACATAACCAAGACTCAAATATTTGTGTCATACTTACCAAAGCACGTAGAAAATTTTGAGGGTATCTTCCCATGGCCTTCTTTAATGACTTGCTTCTTAACTTTATCATGGAGAACTTCCATATCAGTTGTTACGACAGGTGGGGCACTGCCATCTTGGGGGAGTTCAGTACGCGCAAAAGAAGCATCCTCTACTGTTATCTCATCATCACTAGAACCTAAAATTATCAGAACATAAATCAGCATCAATGGGCAAAAGGCAGTGAGGTTTTAGAACTTATTCGCCATCTTGGCACAGATTTGCATATTTTGTAGCATCTCGTATTGTTACTTTGTGGTATCAAGTAACATTACGTAGTCCTGTTAAGTGTGAAGCACAAGCGTCAGAAATTAACATATGTAATCTTAGCATTGAGTTGTGCTACAAGCCCCTACTGAAACTAATTCCATTGCCTTCACATAGGGCAATCAGATTCAGAAAAAAGAAATGTGCTACAGTGCTAGTATTACATTTCAACTTCTTTTGCGCACTGATTAAAGAAGGCGAGCAGAACATTAACCTGCAGTGTGTGCAATAAACACTACTAATTAACTTCACTGCTCCAGCAACATACAAAGCGATTTGGATCATATATCCTTAGATTGCCTTTAGATCGAATACAGCGTGACTAGTTGCTATCTTTTTTTTTCAAAACGAAAAAAAATCGGCACAGAAATTCCGCACCAAATTTGCAAGAGAAAAGGTGCTCTCGTTGAATTGAAAGCTTAACATGACCTAGATTCAGAGCCCGCAGCACGAACAAAAAGGAAGTGAGAATTTCGCTAGGCGGCAGTCCCGCAGAGCTGGAAGAGGCTCACTCACCAGCGGTGAGATCAGAAGCGGGGGCGGGGGCTATTGGCGCGGCATCTTCGGGCATGGCGGCAATCGCTGCAGGCGGGCAGACGCGCCGGGCGTGGTTGGTTGGGAGGCGGAGGAGTCGAGGAGATCAGGAGAGCAGAGCAGATGGTCACTTCCTCGACTTGCAATCTGTGAAGTAGGGGTGTTTAATTCGGCTTTTTCTTTCAGGTCCGGTCAACGATTTTGGGTTTTGGAAAATTTCGGTTCGGTCTATTTTCAGGTAGGGCATCCTCAAAACGCAAGTAAACGTTTGGACCGATGGTCCGGACAATGTAAATAATCCAATGCGATGCCTCATCGGTCTACGGGCACGTCCGCTTGTCTGACGGCAAACAGGATGCAAGTCATACGTATGCGCCTAATCGCCACGCCCATTGAAATCCCCATCCACCCGGAAGAAAACCTCTCGTGCAGAGAAGGCTGAGGAGTGGCGCCGCATCCGCGCGGAGCAGGCGGCGAAGTACGTCGACCCTCCGACAAGGAGGATTGAGCGTCCGGCTCTTCCACGGCGTTGTCCATTTGCCGCGACCTCGCCGCCGTCAGATCCAACCCCTCTATTACTAGTTTAACGTAGTATGTAGTATAACTATGCTTGTAGTTTGTTGATCATGTGATGAACTATGTAGTATGTGACGAACTATGTTTGTGCAATTTCTCCTGCGAAAGTGTTTTTTTCCAGATTATGCAGGTTTTGATACGGGTTTTGTTCGGCCGCGCATGTTTTCGACCCGCAAACGCGATCTTCGTGAAACCGCAAACGCGTTTTGCGAGTCAAATTTTTGTGGGGTCTGCTAGAGTTGCTCTAAGTGCGGCTCTGACGCTGTCCGCACCACACCACATCTCATATCCTCTCCTCTCGACAGACCGAGGTGCGGCTGGCAGCAAAGGAAGGATTTACAAAGCATGACGAAGCACGCGATGTGAAGGATGGAGTTGGGCGAAAGATGATGGAGTTGAAGACAGTAAAAGTCAAGAAGACCCTAAGAAAGGGTGTGGATAGGATACCCCCAACCCCTAGAGAAGGAACAGAACGAACATACCCACTCGTTATCGTTGATAGGGTGGGGGATGGTTTCGGCCATGGCGGTGCCATGGACGAATTGAGCCCAGACCGCGTGAACGCGACCTCTGGCGTCAGCAGGTACCCCACAGTGGAGAGGCGGTCCAGCTGGCCACGCATCACCGTCGACGACTTCCATTTCCCCTTGGTGAGTGAAGCCACCTTTGGGATCCGTGACGGCGCCCTTTCCAATGTTGACGAGCTAGTCGTCCTTCTTCAGGGAACATTATCCCTCCATGGCAATGCGGCGGTGTTGTGCGGTGATGGCAGCGTGTGCGTGGGGAGCAGTGGAGGTGCAGAATGCTAGGGCACTAGAGAGTTTGGGCGCAAGGAAAAATATGAAGTGTGGGGGGATGGGAGCATAAATCCCCCCTCGTCTTGCTTCCTTCCTCGCATAGGGGAAGGGGAAAGTGAAGCAGTGGCAGGTTAATCATGTTGCATGACAGCAAATCCCTTTGCACCCCCCATTATAGCGCTAATAACGCACAGGGATCGAGGGGTCAATGTAAACCCTCTGCATGAATCAAGGCGCAGGTCCACTACTGATGGGACATCACTTGAGTGGGACCCGGCCCAACTCCCGCGTGTCTTGTTGACCATCAGGTCAAGGCAAGCATGTGGCCAGGTGGGCTCGTCGATAAGACCGGTCTGGCTTGTCAGAGCCGGAAAGGACGACATTTGAGACGCATTGTAAGAAATTTTCCTGCCTGCGAATAGGTTGGCTACGTGGGAATCCTTCTTGCGTGCAGGTTGGCCAACTCCTTCGTTATTTCCAAGATTGAGCTGGTTAACGTCACATTAGAGGCAACTCGGCAGATGAAGGCCAGCCGTGTGAAGACACTGTTCGGGGGATGCTTCGTTGAACCCGTTTCAATCCTGATGACGGAAGATGGCGTGCATCTCTAGGTAAGCAAGGTGTATCCAAGCTTGAGGTCGCTTTAGGGGCTATTGACGGTGTCTGGCTAAGGGGTCTCGCACCACGCCGGCTTGGGCCACTTTGCAAGAACCATGGTGAAATTCCCGAAGATTTTGGAAGACTTGGAGTACAATTCGAAGATACCAGAGCCATGGAGGACTCTACCTCCACCGACGTAGCCTACCTAGGTCTGTAACTATAGCCCCCCTGGTATGTTACACAAGCCGGGCCAGGCTCGTTGATAGCAGATACACAATCCCTTGGTATTCACTTGTACCTTTTACATACCCCAACACAATACACGAGAGCAGGAGTAGGGTATTATCTCCTCCGCGAGAGCCCAAACTTGGGTAAAACCTAGCCCCAATTACCATTGTGCCAAGTCACCTAGTTAGGATACCCTACTGAGGGATCTGTCAGATCTAGCTCCAACAGGGAGCTCTACTGTAACACATACAATTTATAGCCACTCTTATTCTCTACATAATTTCATGTAAGTGTTCCATGGAGCACCTCCAATAACAACCCTATAGTAGGGTGCAAAAAACTGGTTGGAGTAAACTTTTTGACACGAAATGTGTTTTTTAGGACACCGGAAAATATTTATCTCCAACAAATAGCCCTAAAATTGGTGCCGTAAAACACATCACATCACGGTTGCCTTTTCATGGATGCACATTTTAGGTCAATTGTTGGAGCAGCGTTTGGGCACAAAGTGATGTAAATCAACCATTTTCTTATGGTCCTGCATGGTCCCCCACTGCCCTAAAAATTTGCGGCAGCTGCGCGGCTGCTGTATATTTGTAGCACTTGGGGGTGCATTTTTGGGTTGGCCAATTTTTTTGGAGAGAAAATTACAAATAGGCATCTGTTGGAGTTGCATTTTGGGTAAAAAAAAGGGGTTTCATAGCTGCTGCCCTATTACAGGGCTATTGTTGGAGATCTCTTAGCGTCACGCAAAGATGCAATTCAATTCCCTGCTTGTTGGTTCTTGAAGGAGAACTAAGAAGGGAGGAAGGCGGAAGAAGGGAACAATTGACTAGAGTAACTCTAGAGTCGTCATATCGGCATGTCGGCATAATAACTGCTATCATGGCAATTTTTGTCAAAATGCTACTCTAGTAGGGTCGTCATCCCGCCCTCAATCGCCATAATGTTTAGGTCACGCATCAAAGCGAGCTTGCATGCCTCTATATTTGTAACACCCAGAGAATCATGCTACAATAATCTCATGCCTACTGATACTATTACATCATAATTATTTTGATAATCCTCACTTTGCTTCAAACCAAACTCAAATCCAAGTTTGAATGCCAAGTCAAATTATAATTTTATAAAACCGTAAATTAAAAATGTTCCTTAGGTTGGAAATATTCACTACATAATTGTCATTCATTAAAAAAATATTTTTGGAGATGTTTAAAAATACCCATGGATTTTAAACAGTGGACCAACGACGCCTTTTTAGCCCTTTTAAAATACAATCATAATTTATATTAACTCCAGTTGCCCCCAAACATTTTGTGCAGCCCCAAAATATAGTGCTTGAGTTATGTGCCACTGATCGACGGCGACGGTGGCGTCTTGCGCCGTTGTTGGTGTACTCCTAGACGTTGGCCTAGCTTCAAGGAAGGCCAAAATGTTCTGGACTTCAGAGCGAGTCAACTAGCGCGAGGAGGCGACTGGCGTTGGTGCAAGGAAACGGTCGACGGTGGCCATCTATACCGCCGAGGGGGGCACTAGCACCCGCGCGGGGACAGGCGCTGTCAACGGCTCGGCGGAGACATTCGTGTGCACGGGCACCGGCACGGGCGCGCACGTCAGTGCACGCGCAGGCGCATGCACTGGCAGGTGCACGGGCACCGGCAAGGGCGTGCGCGTCAGTGCATGCATAGGCGCATGCACTGGCAGGTGCACGGGCGCGTGAAAGTCGGCGGGGACCTCGTGGGATCAAGCTCGGCGACAATGTGCGGCTCCCAGCCCATCAATGCCACGAGGATGGGCGCTGGCGCAGTCGGGGCGACGGGAGCTGGAACGGGAGCGGGGCCAGGCGCGGCGTCTTCCCGCAAGGCCAGTTCAAGCTCGTCCCAAAGTGCCTTATATTCTTGAGACTCCGGCTGGGTGTCTTCCTCAGGAAACCGGAAGACTAAGGACAGACCATCGTGATGTGGCATGGCGTATGTTTAGGTCAGGCTGGTTGGAGGTAGACGACAGGAGAATCGGAGAGGAAGAGAGAAGATTGTAGCGATACCGGATAGTGCGGGGTTGATTTTAAACTGCGGCGCCGGCGACATTAAAAGTGGGAGCAGTTGGGATGAAGGTGGGCGGCGGAGCCTGGTCAAAGGGCTCGCCTCCCAGTGAGCCTGCACAGCGGTCTGCTCGCACGCCTCCCTGTCAGCCGGCGCAGCGGTCTGCTCGCACGCCTCCCGTCGACTCACACGCTTGCTCGGACGGCACCTGCCGATGAGAAGCGGGGACTTGTGGCGGCACGTAAACGCCCACGGTTTCAATGGTGAAAGCGTTCGCCTTAACATGGCAGGTCTTTGTTCCAAAATACCTTGGCTCTTCATCTGTGCAACTTGTCATAAGCAGCTTGTCTCAAATTGAAGAAAAAACTTATGAAGTAATATTTGTGCCATATCACGTGACCATGCTTAGTTTCAAGAATTTATGCTCATTTTTGGATTTTATGAAATTTAAGATCTAGGATTCGAAACAATATCATAACCTGCATCATGCAATAAATTTTCAAGCCGTACATCTATCCTGTTGTATTTCTTAAGAAAGGATTTGGTCAAACATTTTGCTTAGTTAGACTTCATACAAGTTATATATGCAGAGTAAAAGGATAATCCCTCCGTACCAGTGCATTGCCTGATATATTAACTCAAGCACTAGGCACGAGTAAATGGGCTCAATTCTGTGCTCATCCTGGTGTAGTAGTAGTAGTACTAGGCAATGCGGTTGATGGGTGACATTGACGAGCGGCGACTGAGGGAATTGAACTGTGATCGGCACGGTGGGTAACATTGTCTAGTTACTA